TTCATTAACCTTGGCAGAAGGAGTCTGGGTAAATCTGCTTGAGAAATAGATGCTGTATATTTTAATTCTCAAAAGGGCAAGGGAAGTAGAATACGGGTCTGTGTATCCTGCTTCAGTGACATCCTTGGCAATTTCAATAACCTTCTCAAGATCATCATTATCTTTTTATTAAGGAAGAGTGGCTTCTCCCAGAGCATCAGCAGCGAAGGGAAGTGGTGCTGCCTCCCGTGGACCTGAGCAAGCTTTGCCCCTCACCTCTCAGGCATGTACTGCTTCTGCCTTGAACTGCAGTTACTCACGTATGTGGTCTAGTTCTCCTGCTCTAACAATATGCCCCTGTTTCAGTCCTCTTGCATATCGTCAACAGCACTTAATGCACTGTCCTTCATTTAGTAAGCATTCTATCAGTATTTGATGGGTAGCGAATGAAAGAATGGGCCTGATGCTCTGCAAAGCACCTCCATGCGTATTCATGAGAGAGCAGCAGTCATTCAGAAAGAAATGATGTGCAAGTCAGTAAGTGGTCATATTCATAATGAGGTTGTCCTTTCCATTCTTGTTTCAGATTGGCAATGTGATCCTGTTGGCTTCTCAGGAAGAATTCACAGGAAGGTGCAGCTCAGATCTCAGGTTATCAGGGGTTGGAAAAGAGCAGAATAGTGACCAGGTTACACAGGAAGAGGCGGGGGTTGGGGTTGGGGGGCGGGGAGCAGGGGTTGTGAATGGGAACTGGGTGGGGACAGGAGATTGAAGAATTAATTTTCTCTGCATACAACCTGGTAGCAAGCAGACACTGTTTCTTTGGCTTAACACTGTGGTGGCTTAAAGAATCCAGGGTGGGCAGGTAGGGCTTCAAAGAAGGAGAAGTGGATCTAGTGCAACTATGGATGGTAACTAGCTGTGCGTTAATAAAGAAAATGGCCCATTGGTGAGTGCTGCCATCATGGGCGGTTCAAGCCTCCTGTTCTGGTTTGTGAATTATAACTGTCATGTTCATATGACTGAACAGATTACTTCTACTTCCAGGAAACTGGCCCAGAAATATATCTGTGCAGTGAAACGTAAGTATGCATTTAAGGTTATTAACTGTTGCATTTGTTGTAATAGAAAAATCAACAACACAGAAATAACCTAATGTGCATCAATAGGTCTTGATTAAAATGCTGCACAGGGCAGACAGAGTTCTGCTATAAGGCGAGGACTTAAAATACTGCATGACATATAGTAGGTGCTCAATAAATATTGGCTTATGAGATGAACCAGATGGCATCCAACTGCTAAGACAACTGAGGTAGAACTAAATTCCAAATATGGATACGTGCCCTTGGTGTATTAAGTGGGGAAAAAAAAGTAAGCAGAACAATATGAAAAATGTACTCAGAATTTGGCACGATGTAGGTGCTATGAACATATTTATTGAAGAAGAGTTTGTTGAATTTAAGTGGAATTGGATCATGTATGTTTATGAGCACATGTAGTGTACACCGCACACAAACACATATTGGTAAATGCTTAAAGAAAGGGTCTGGAAGGCTAGATACCCAACTGTTCAAAGGAAGGGAGTTAAGATGAGGAACTCTGAGCCTATATCATTCTCAATGGGTTGAATTTTTTTTATTACAAATATATTTCTATTTTTATAATTCAAATGACATTCAAAACATTTCAGCCTCCAAGACTCCCCACACCCTTTGCAGAGGGCCCAGCATAGTAGCTTGAATACAGGACAATCAGTCACTACAGTTGGTCCTGAACTGCCTCCTCCATTCCTCCCATAGAATGTGAGGAGACAGATGGAGAAATGAGATCCCCGGTCAGCTCCTGAGCTCAGAGTGAGGGCAGGGAAGAGACCATAGAAGCCCTTCATAAAATGAGGGTTAATTTGACAGTGGAGAACCTATTCCTACCGCCACATTACCAAAAAAGGGAGGCTGATAAGGGCGATTGATCATTTTATTTCATCACTTCAAGGGACTAGAAACATCTTTCACAGGCACTGAACTCGCTCTCAAGTTTAAAAGCCTTTAAATCAACTTTATTGGGTTAATTGATGATGTCTTTTGTGCACTCTTGCTCTGCAATCCGTCATATCCTATCAGGTGGACTGGAAAGCTCCAAGTAAGAGTTCTTGGTCCTTGCTCCCTGCTGGAAACTGGATACAGAGGGAATGAAGTTGCCCTCCGTGGATTGTGGGCTAAAGCAATGAGGCCATGGTGTCCTTCACAGGGGAGCACAGAGCTTGAAATAGTGTTGGTGAGCTCGGACTCCCAGGGTTTCAAGTGGACTTATAAAAATGTGACTGGGGTGGGAGACACATCAACAATTTTCTCTTTCCTTTGAAATATCATTTTTCCTTCCTTTTAAATATCTTTAACCACTTTGTATTCTAAGTACAAAATTATCAGTTTATTCATTTAACAGCTGAGCTCTGACTTTGTAATAGTCACTCTATCTATCTATCTGTAGATAAACAGACAGACAGACAGACAGATAGATGTTTCCTAGGGCTGCTGTAACAAATGACCACAAACTGGGTGGCCTACATCACAGATTTACCCTCTCGGAATCCCGTAGGCCAGAAGTCCTTCCAAAGGCTCCCAGGAAGAATCTGCCCTTGCTTCTTCCAGCTTCCGGTGGCTCCTAGGCCTGTGACTGCAGAACTCCAGTCTCACCCTTTTCCTCTGTGTCTGTGACTTCTCTTCTGTCTCTTATAAGGACATTTGCAATTGGACTTAATGGCGCACCTGGGTAATCCAGATGGTCTCAACTCAAAAGTCTCAACCTAATTGCATCAACAAAGAACCCCTCCCCCCTGCCCTTTCCACACAAGGCCACAATCACAGGTTCTGGGGGTCAGGATGTGGACATATCTTTTTTTGGGGGGTGGGGGCGGGGGCACCGCTCAATCTTCCACCCTAACACTAGGCACTGAGGATACAAAGATACATAAGCACAATCCTCCCCATGGAGGAGTCCTAGTTTGTTATATGTAACCAAGTAACTGTGATATGAAATCTACAGGGTGGAGGGAAACAATACTCCTAAAGCAGAGAGACTGATGTAGGGGAGAGGGGGATGAGGAGGGGGCTTTGGGGCTGGGCCTTAAATAATGAACAGGCCCCCGTCAGGCAGACAGATACAGTGGGATGAGAACGGGCATCCAGGCAGCAGAGACCATGGGCTCATGGAGGAGGAAATGGAGGTCTGAATGTGCATGGTGTGTTCAGGGCCTGCAAAGCAACCAATGGGGACAGGAGCATGGGGTCCTTGTGTGGGTGCATTGGGGAAGGAGGAACCGGGAGATGGGATTGATTGTGCGAGATCATATGTGAAGGATCTTGTTCTTCCAAGTTCATGTGTGCCAAGCATTTGCCCTCACTCAACTTTTAGTCACCTCAGATGTGTCTGTCTGTATCCGTGCACTCCCAGTACACAAGAAGCTCTTCAAGGCTGAAGGCCCATTTCCATGTTCCCCTGAGCAATGAACAGTGTCCAGGCCACAGCTGGGGCCAGGCCCGGGCTCTGTGTCAGGCTGCCCAGCTGCTCCTGGGGAAAGGGTGAGGCCCAGATGCAGGAGGCTCCCAACGCAGAGTGTTGGGTGTGATCAGAAACCAGCGTGAACACGGCTGCTGCTGCTGCGGGTCCTCTCGGGGACATCTGGGAAAAGGAGTTCACTGAGAAGAGCCATGGCCAGAGTTGATAAACACTCTCCTGGTGTTTGGTCTTTAATCTTTGATAGCTAAGTGCCCAAATAGACTGATGGCTAAAACAGTCAGTTAAGTCATAAAGTGAATTGTTAGACTGAATGCATTGATTTTTACAACTAAACGAGCTCCGATAATAGCCTGGCTGGGTGTTATACAGACACGGCTTCAGTGGTAACAGTACACAGAGACAAAAAAAATTCCAACCGCTAGAAATTAAATGCATTTATTTCTACAAATTAAATTACTTTGGAAAATTAGCCTCAGGTGTGCAAATACTTAATGTTTACTGACTAATATTCCAATTGCTAAAGCACCCTGTGGGTCTTGACACATGGCCCAGAGATGACATCTATCATGTTGCTAAGCGGAACAAATGAAATCATGACCACAGGACTAAGGAGTTCACGTGAGCCCACCACGCTTCTGACACAGATGCTCGATGCAGACTCCAGAGACAAAGAAAGTGTGGTCATTATCGGGCCATATGTTAGAAGGAAGCATCGCAAAGAGGGATGACTCACTGTTTATACAATCATCTGTTCACAGCAGAACTTAATGGTCCCCAAACAGAATTTTATATACTTTTATTTCATAGGTAAAAATGCATAGAAATGAAAGAATCAGTAGTAGATTTTACTCTCTGCCCTTCGTTTCCATACAGATCTAATCTCATGCCCTCATCTGTCAGGGAGCAGGAACCTAGGTAGTATTTCAGAACAAAGAGACAGAAGAGTGAGACTAGTATGAGCCAGACTCAGACGTCAGCTAGCATCTGGCTACCACCTCCTCATGCCACATTCTCAACAGGTGGCAAGAAGAATTAAAATACAAGAGAAAATAAACATTTCTGATCATTCTAAAGCTTGTATTCAGGCAACCTCCTGCCAGAAATATCTACTAAAAAAATCAGTGGGGCTGGATAGAGAAACACAATTGTACTTCCCTCTTAAGTAGCATTCTTGTCCTCTTCTGGGATGATAAGAAAGATATATGGTCCTTCCTCACTACCTTCCCACTGGCCCAAAGGCTCAGAGATGGAGAGAGACAGAAAACTGGGCAGCTTGGCTCCTACTACTGTGGGGGACAAGATACTGGGTTTGTACCATTCTCCGTTGGAAACTCCCAGAACACACTAGACTGTAAATATGGCTAGAAGAGATGTGACTCGAGGTACCAAAAAAGTTCATTCCTCATAGGTGAGCAGGGAAGGGAGGAGGAAGCACTGAGACTGTGAGACTCAATATGCAAAGTGCATACAAAGAAACCCCAAACAAATATGAAAAGCAAACCTACAGAGCCTCTGAGGCCCCCAGGGATGGGATAGAGAGATGATGCCACCTCGGTCCAGAAGAGATGCATGGATGAAGTGTCCAGATGTACACCTGTGATCTGTGTGCATCCTTCTGCCCCCGGCTGTAAGGACAGAAAACAGGCTCTGACTGGCAAGTCAAGCCGGGAATACCTAACCATCTTGCCCAGCACCTCTCCAGAGGATGGAAGTGTGTGCAAAGAGAATACCTTCCTGAAGTCTCCAAGAAAGAATAAAGCTCTGAAACTATTTAATACAGGAACCAGAAATGATTTTTAAACGTTTATCATCATCAACTTCAAGATGCGAGAATGCATAGTCTCATGATCTTTCCTAATCTGTTTTCTAGGACATCATGCTTCATAGTTACTCAATGGATTCTGGCAGGGAAGATGGATATATTTTGTTCTCCTCCAGCTTAATAAATTCATGAGCTAGTCACTCATATTACTAACTCATGTTGGTTCCTGCCTTAATTCCTTAGCTTTGCTTCCATGTGAGCACGTTCAAGCCATATGATGAAGATAAATGCCCTTAGATAACACAAATTTTTATTAAGAAAGATATTTCAAAATGTCTTGGTCAAGTGATGGGTAAAAGAGAACATCCACTTGAATATCCACTACTCTTAACCATGGACTCAGTGTGATGGGGCACACACTTGCCCCATCCACTGCCAGAGGTGAAGAGCTCGGTACAACCCCAGTCACAAGAGGGAGACCCAAAGGCCCTACTAAGATGATGGAGCTTTTACTGGGAGAAGCAGGGAACCAGTACAGGTGTATAGCAAGTATTACGTTCCCTTCCTTGTATTTTTTTTATCCTTTTTCCTCCCACTTGGGAGTAGTGAGCTTTGAACAGAAGTGGACAGAGTTGTCTCTAGAACTTCAAGTTCTACACGAGGCTCATCAGAGAGGAGACCAGTTAGCAAAATAAGATGAAGCCCTGTGGAAGGAGTTGGCAGCCCCCTGTGCATATAGCCTATGCACAGAACCTGGCTGAGGTGATGTGGAAATTGATAATTTGTCAAGATTTGTTCCTTTAGATCCAGGCTGTCTCAGAAGACATTGTCTGGCCTGTGACATTGAGCTTGGAAGGTGCTGACATCATTAATGCATTTAGACACATGTACATTTAAGAGAAGTCCTCATCACAAAACTGCCAGTGACTTGTCTATTCTCTCCCAATGACAGGTCCACTCTTCTGAGCGCTGCCTTGTGAAACTGGGCCAGGGAATCCCCAGATGATATTTTCCAGACCCTTTTGCCTGATTATATTCTGATTAATTTTCTTATTAGATTCTGATTAGATTAGGTTATTATACAGATTATATGTGCCATAAAATTAGATTCTACCAATGGGAGGTACCACCAGGAGGCTTGAAGTCAGGAGAAGGAGACCAATTCATTCCCTGTCTTCAGCTTGGGTCCACAGCTCTCAAGGAGCGAAAGAAGACAAGAGCTCCACACTCCACGGAAGCTCAGAGTTCCTGGCACCACCCACACTGAGACCCAGGAGACCTGAGCACCTGCCATTAGCACCCTCTCTGCTTGACATACCTAGTAGGCTTCTGTGTTCTTGACTGGACCCACACTGACCCATACCTTTAGGAAATATCCTAGAATCCTGTGAGGTTTAAAATAGTTATTATATGGAAAATACATAGATTAGGGTCTGGCATGTAGTAAACTTGAAAAGCCCAAAGGTCAAGTTACACACAAGTGTCCACATTGTCACTTCTATTGCTCCAGCTGCAAATGCTGTCAGGTTATCATCTAGCTCTGCACCATCCAATATAGTAGCTGCTAGCCACTAGCAGTTATTTAATACTAGAGGCCAGGTGCACAAAAATTTGTGCACTTGAGAGGGTCCCTCAGCCCGGCCTGTGCCCTCTCGCAGTCTGGGACCCCCTGGGGGATGTCCACCTGCTGGCTTAGTCCCACTCCCCGGGAGAACGGGCCTAAGCTGGCAGTCAGACAGCCCTCTGGCAGTCCGGGAGCCCTCGGGGGATGTCCACTTGCCAGCGGGGAGCAGGCCTAAGCTGCAGTCAGACATCCTTAGCGCTGCCGAGGAGGCAGGAAAGGCTCCCACCACCACCGCTGTGCTGGCAGCTGTTAGCCTGGCTTGTGGCTGAGCAGAGCTCCCCCTGTTGGAGCACACTGACCACCAGGGGGAAGCTCCTGCATTGAGCATCTGCCCCCTGGTGGTCAGTGTGTGTCATAGTGACCAGTCATTCTCAGTCATTCTGCTGTTAGGGTCAATTTGCATATTGCCCTTTTATTATATAGGATAAATTAATTAAAATGAGGAATGCAGTTGCCCCAGTGCACTGGTTACATGTGAAGTGCTGGTGTGGCCACGTGGGGCTACAGTACTAGTCCATGCAGATATGGAATATCCCATCTGCACAGGAAACTCTGCTGAACAGTGCTGATCTAGATCACTGTGCACTGGAGAATCAACGGGAGAGCTTGTTAAAAGTAAAATTCCTGTGCTCCTCTGAAATGTGCTGATTGGAGGGTTTATGCAATCAGTGTTGGTAACAGTGTCCCTCAGGAGTGGCTGGGTTCCCCAACCACACTTTCAGAGCAACTGAGATAGGAGGTAGGGTATTTACTTCCTAACATTCCTCCTAAAAGTCTTTAAAAGAGTGTGTGTGTGTGTGTGTGTGTGTGTGTGTGTGTGTGTGATATAGACAAACACAAATACTATTAACTTGCAATTAAACAGAATAACAGAAATCAAAATTTGGGGCATGAGCCCAATTCAGCACAAAACCTCAGAGAACCCAGGATATCAGGGGCCCAGGACTCGCCACCTTCTGACCAGGTGAGTAGGAAACAGACTGAGCCGCGAAACATTGCCTGAGCCACAAACAGATTTAAGTAATTCTTTGTTCCTGTTCACCTTTCTAATCACAGAGCTCATTGTTTAGTGAATGCTTCTACTTTGATTATAACAAATAATCTTTATTTTTCAACAAAAAGTTTGTTCACATGTGTAGGTATTTATACTTCAAAAGCTTCTCCATAGAAAAGCCCAGGAGTCGAACCTAAATAGCACTTTCGTAACAATGAATTCTTGATTGCATAATCAGTGTTGCAGGAGCTAAGGTAAATATACCTACAATTCAGGGATTATTAATTACCTAGCAGTGCTGTAACACCTGCACCCAACCTTCCCCTCTTCCAGGAGATGCACATGGAATGCATAATGTGCCACTGAGGGTGTTATTGAATATACTGCTCAATCTCTTTATGCAAAGATACAAATAACAAATGTTCTTGAAACTCAGAAGTGGAGAAAGTTGTGTCTGGTAATGTACTTACACACATTTCACTACCGCAAAATGGGAGCAAGGTGTTCCAGCATTCTCTCTTTGCCCTGAGTACTAGGTGGGCCATTTCAATCAATGACACTTTATATTTCCATTTTTATGTAATCTTACATTTTATTCTACATTCAATCTTTTTTTTACATTAATCTTATGTCACATGGTTTAAATCTTCTGTCTGTTCTTTTACTACAAGTCTCCTTACATTTTTTTTCTGCAAATAGGGAATTATTAATTCATCCATCCATCCACCCATTTAAACTATTCTTCCTTGCTGTAGGTGACAGCTATAATTCAATAACTAATTTCAGTAGGATTTCCAATTCCCCCCTGAACATACTGGAGTTATAAAGGGAGATGGATTGTATTAATTGAACACAATTCATGTTCTCCCTGCTCTGTCCATGCTTTCTTGAGCACTTCCTGCCTCACTGACCACTTGCTTGGTTGTATGACTGACTAGACCAGTGGCATGTGACTAGAGGTGACACAAACTATATTCAAACAAGAGCTTCAAATACCCATGCTCGGTTAGGCCCTAATTGCCCCCTCCAAAAGAACAGCATGTCCCAGGTACATACTACTCTTTGGCCTGGGTCTATGAATGATAAGACATCCATCAACCCACAGCTGGAGAAGAGTTGCTGAGTTGTCTCTAACCTATAGATGACATGTGACATGAGAAACAATGACCTATATTGGTGAGGCCACTAAGATCTGGGGTTACAGGTTATGCCACCCAACAGAGCATAAGCACTCTTCTTAATTTTGCTGTTGCTGATGCAAAGGGATGGGCTGGAGCACTGGCCACATCTGATGGAGCACTACCTGATGGGATCAGCTCACAGAACGCTGGACCTGACATGAGGTCAGGGACACGCTGGCTACATGGGTTACATTGGTCTAAAACCTTCTAGCCACGAAAACAGAAGGATGTGAAACAGAAGGAATCCCCAGACAGTGAGGCAATACCAAAAACCACAGCAATGAAATTCAAGGGCGCTCAGTAATCCTGTGCCCTGGATTGCAAGGAGAGGTGGGAGCTTCTGTCTTGTTATGGGTCAATGTCAGGCTCTCTGCCTTTTAATCTCAGCCCTGCAGAGTCCCTTCGGGTTTGGCACACTGACCTTGATTACCGGTCCCCCACCCAACAACAACAACAACAAAACCTGAAGGAAATTTTGGTAAAACCTTGGCTTGCCAGTCATATTTCAAAGGTGAAGAAAAGATGAATAAATACAGAAAGGGGATTGTGGTGGTAACGGTGGTTGTGGTGTGTGTGTGTAAGGAGAAAATAGAGGTCTTTTCTCAAGAATAGCCAAGTTCCTTGTCTCGCTTTGACTGTAGACATTTTAAGGTTTTGCTACATTTTAAGATTTACTATAGATGGCAAATATTTATTAACCATCTGACTGTAAAATGAGCACAGCGAGAAGACAGTTAAAAGTTGACACAAGCCTTGACACCAAGACTACAGTGTCAGCCTGTGGAGGAGGGATAATACCAGGCCAGAAAGGAGGGAGACCGATCTTTCTTCAGTGACATGCCAGGAAACCTGATGACATTCTCCAAGAACTGACCTCACCTGATCAGGGCTCAAACAGTAGTTCACACTTAAATGGTGCTAGTACTGATGATTTTGCCCTAATTTTTCTTTTCTATAAATTTGTATTGCCTAATGACCTGTATAATGGTTTTTCTGTATGATTTTTATATATTTTACTGATCTATCTTTGGACCTTCCTTCCCTTTTAAAATTGTACGGAAGGA